GCTGCTGGAATGGTTCTTTGACCCAAGTAAGGTAGTTTCTTTCCTTTGCTCTGTGGTTTCACAAATCCCAATGAGTAGCATCAAAGGCTTGCTTGGGTAGGCAGTCATAGTCATACTCCTTACTCTCCGGAGGGATATTTGGAACTTGGAAGCAAGAGCTCTGTCATCCCTCATGGGGGAAGAAGTTTAATAGTTTGGGAGAAAGCGTTTGATTGGAACAGACACTAAAGGCCAGATATTCAGAGGTGAGTCAGCGCAGGCACTCACTGGCATAGAGGGATCTTGGTGACGAATTGAGTCCTGTATCTGTTGGTGGCCGTGTGTGCTGTGCTAAGTAGGTAAGGTGTCACCTGCTGGTTGTGAGGTCCCTTACTTGTTAGTTCCAACCAATACTGCTTCAATCCCTTCAGAACCTTAGGAGGTGGTCAGCATGAGTAATATTTTACTTGTGATTCCTTGTTTTATTCTCAGTGTTAACTGAATTGCATGCAAATGTGTCAAAAAAAATTTTTTGGAGGGGAGAGATAAACTGGGAGACTGGGATTGACATATACACACTACTATGTACAAAATAGATAAGTACTAAGAACCTGCTGTAGAGCACACAGAGCTGTGCTCAGTACTCTGTAATGACCTATACGGGAATAGAATCTAAAAAAGAGTGGATATATGTATACGTATAACTGATTTAGTTTGCTGAACAGTAGAAACTAACACAACACTAAATCAACTCTACTCCAATAAAAATTAATTAAAAAATTATTTTTGAGGAGGTGATGAGGATGGTTACCCATGCACAGTAGTTGTAGATTCTCAGTCTTGGTTGTAGCGTGGGAAAAAGTATTTGGAAGACGTGTGGTGATAAGACAAGGGACACTACGAAGAAGTGAAAGGAGGGGATTAGCTGGTGGGAGGAAAGGGAGATAAGAAGGCCAGGGGTGAACCAGAAAAGGCCTGGAAGCTCGGAGGCAGGAAGGCTCTGCAGTGCCCACAGCCTGGGAGGACCCTGGTGGACCCCAGGGTAGAGGGTATGGAGGGAGCTGGGGGCACGCAGCTTGCATTGCTGCTTCGCTTAGAACAGGAAGTGGATAAAAAGAGCAGGGATGAGAAAATGGATTTTGAGCAAGTTTTAAGAAATGGGGGGAACTTCCCTGGTGGCGCAGTGGTTGAGAATCTGCCTGCCAATGCAGGGGACACGGGTTCGATCCCTGGTCCGGGAAGATCCCACATGCCACGGGGCGGCTAGGCCCGTGCGCCACGGCTGCTGAGCCTGCGCTCTAGAGCCCGCATGCCACAGCTACTGAAGCCCGTGCTCCACAATAAGAGAGGCCAAAGCAATGAGAAGCCCGCGCACCGCAACAAGGAGCGGCCCCCACTCGCCACAACTAGAGAGGGCCCATGGGCAGCGGCGAGGACCCAATGCAGCCAAAAAAATAATTAAAAAAAAAAAAAAGAAAAGGGGAAAGTTACAGAGGAAAGGAGAGAAGATTCTAGCTTGAACATTGCCACCCACGTCTAATTGGATTTGGCTGTGGGCCACTCCAGGAAAGCCAGGGTGGTGACCCGTTTCAAGATAGTTCATCAGCACTGTGGGTGTTCTGATGTCACGCTGGATAGGCTCCAGTGGTATCTGTGCCAGGCACCGTGGCCCGCGAGGCCCATGGAGATCCCACATGGTACGTGAGTTGTCATTGCCTGGAGGGAGTTGTGGTCTCTGGTGGGACAGTTAGGAGGGAAGTGCTGCTGTGGATGAAGACTCGTGGTGGGGGGGAGAGTATCATGGTGGCGAGGACGACTCTTGGGTTGGAACTGGGTTGAGGGATGGCTACTTTGGCAGTGGTCTCAGTGCTGTCAGTGATAAATTGGAGTCAGGGTGCCAATTGACTCAGGTCTCCATGTCTAACTGTTCAGGTGGCGACACATACTTTAGGCTCCCGTCAGTGAGCTTGCCATCTGATGGAAGTGAAAACCCTCATGCCTTGATATGGTACCCAGATTTGGGAAGTGAAGGGATTTGTGAGGGTCCTTAAATCAAGAGCTATGGGGAAAGACATTTGCCTAATTGAGCAACTTCATCTGTTTTCTGCTGGGGCCCACATGGGATTCCTCAAGATCGCTGTCATGGTGACCTCTGCTCTTTGTCTGATGGGACTTTGTAGTGTTCAGAGCAACACTGATCCTTTCAGTTGATGGCTCAGCAGCCCAGGGAGGTGTTATTATCTCCAGGTGTTCTCCCCTTTTGCTGGAGGCCAGTGCTGAGAGGTCATGTGGCTAATTCAAGGTCATGCAATCAGAAAGCAGCAAAGTATCATTACATTTTAAGAAATTGTGGTAAAATGCATATAAAATAACATTTACCATCTTGACCATTTTTAAGCACATGGTTCAGTAGTGTGAAGTACATTCACATCACTGTGCAACCAATTTCCAGAACTCTTTTCATCCTGCCTTAGTGTGTCATTAAACACTAACTCCCCACTCTCCTTCCTTCCCGCCCCTGGCAACCACAGCACTACTTTGTTTCTCTCTGAATTTGACTAAGTACTTCATTGAAGTGGAATCATACAGTATCTGTCCTTTGTGACTATACCATTTTACACTTCCAGCAGCAGTGTGCAAGAGTTCCAGTTTCTCTACATCCTTGCCAACACTTATTTCCCTCCCTCCCTTCCTTCCTTCCTTCCTGATAATAGCCATCCTAATATATGTGAGGTGGCATCTCATTGTGGTTTTCATTTGCATTTCCCTGACAATGAGTGATGTTGAGCGTCTTTTCCTGTGCAAGTAGACTTTTAAAGAGGGCCTTTTCAGGGTAAATCCCAGTGTTAATTCCCTGAGCGTTTTTGGGAGGGAATAAGTGTAGGATAAATGGCAAAACATTTTTCAAACCTGTTTAGTGGTGATGCTCGCAGATTTATACTTTTACTTTGGAAGGAAATTGAGACCTAGAGATATTAAGGATCATGGAGATGCTGAACTGGAGTGGAGAAGGAGATGGGGGGGGACAGTTGAGGCCCTGGGGCCTCAGTACCACTGAGGGACTAGAATCCAGTCTTCTGCCTCCTGGTCTGGGGATCTTTAGAGGTGCCAAGCTACCAGGGTTAGCAAAATCTGAAGCTTAGTCTCTCTTACTGCTTCTTTAATAATTCATAGACATTCATTTGTTCAACAAAGAATTCTTTAGCATCTCCTTTCTACCTGTATTGTGCTAGGAATAACGCAATAAAAGAAGTGTGGGGCTTCCCTGGTGGCGTAGTGGTTGGGAATCCGCCTGCTAATGCAGGGTACATGGGTTTGATCCCTGGTCCAGGAAGATCCCATGTGCCATGGAGCAACTGAGCCCGTGCGCCACAACTGCTGAGCCTGCGCTCTAGAGCTCACGAGCCACAGCTAGAGAAAGCCCGCGCGCAACAACGAAAACCCAACACGGCCAAAACAAAAAAAAAAGAAGTGTGGTCTCTGCTTTCATGGGTTATTATTGTCTGGCCTTGGAAATCTCCCTACTCTGGCAAAGTGAGTAGAATGGTGTTAACCTTTGGGCTGTCTCTGCATATTAATCATTACTTAAATAATGCATAATGGACTTGGATAATGTTTTTTTTAGCCCTTTGTATAGTTACTGTTTTTTCCATTAATAATAAATAATTTGTAGAGAGGTAGTTTGAGATTATGTAAATATCATGGTTCACACAAGCTTTCATCCACGAGGTTTAACTTCCATTGATAATTTTCTGACTCCTATATATTTGTTCCTTCTATATTTGTTTGCATTCTAGACTGCAACAGCTTTCCCTTCTCTCCTGTTCATGAAGCAATAAAGTCATGGATTCTTTTGTTATTTAATGGGTTATAATTCACTGACATTTATTTAATACCTAAAGTATCCCAGATGGCTAGCAAGAGCCCTTCAAGCTGGCTTCTCTGTCTTTTGCACACATCCTTGTGATTACTTTAGAGCTTCCTTATTTTAGGGTGCAAGATGTCCAGGCCCATCTTGTACTTTCTCTGCCGTTGGTCCTGGCCTGTCGATGGTGATGCTGTTGCTGGGAATGCCTGGGGCTCTACTCACCTGGACCTGGTCTAGTTATAGCAGCCCACACAGAAATTTCCTCTTTTGGGGCCCATGTTGTGGCTGGCCCGGTCCTTGTGGTTCTTAAGATTGTGAGGCATGTCTCAGCAACAACCAAGAGGGAGTTCTGAAATGGCAAGGTTTATCACTCACATGTCTTGAAGGGTACAAGGCACACCTGAGGTCACACAGCCCCAGAGAGAGAGGGAGAGAGAGGGAGAGGGAGGGAGGGAGGGAGGGAGAGCACGTGCATGTGGTGAGCTTGTACCTGCACTTCTGCCTTGTTGGGGTCAAGGGCTGGGTGCATGTCAGGCAGGCACTTATGAAAAAAGCTAATTGTCAGGTGCTGACACACACTGAACCAACCTTGGAATCAGCCATTGCTTCAAGGAGCGCTGGTTCCTCTTAGGAAGGATATTAAAAAGCCGAGATCTGGGTGAAGGGGACCAAAAGGCACAAACTTCAGTTATAAAAGAAATAAGTCATGGAGATGTAATGTCCAGCATAGTGACTGTGGTTAATTATACTGTGTTATTTGAAAGCTGCTGAGAGTTGACCCTTAAAAGTTTTCATTAGAAGAATAAAAAAAATTATTACTGTGTATGTTAAAAAAACAAAACACCAAGATCTGGAGACTTGAATGCTCCTTGCTACCAGTGTGTCACTTCTTCCAGGGCCTCTCAGCGTATAGAGTTGAGAGAGAGAGAGAGAGAGAGAGAGTGTGTGTGTGTGTGTGTGTGTGTGTGTGTGTAAAAACACGCGTCTAATTTTCTTCCCCCATATCTCTATATATTTAAAATGTAGACCTATTTCTGTAGGCCTCTTTTTTTAATTTTTAATTTTTTTTTAAAAACAAAGGCCGTCGATGTGGGATTCTAATTAGACAGATGTGTAGTTTGGATATATGTCACTCTCCTTTAATTTTTAACAGGTGGCTAAACCCCTTGTTTAAAATCGGTCACAAACGCAGATTAGAAGAAGATGACATGTACTCAGTGCTTCCGGAAGATCGCTCCAAGCACCTCGGGGAAGAGCTGCAGGGGTAAGTAGCAGGCAGTGAGGGGAAGGGGAAGGAAGGGTGAGAGCTTCTACATGTGGCTAGTGGTTTGGAGTGGGTTTTACCTTCCTCTGGGTTCTTCTGCAGCCTCCTCGCCCATGACATTGCACGCTCACCCGCCTGGGGCTGACCCTGGGCTTAGCCCACTTTGGAGGCCGGGGGGACCCATGTTTCCTGTGTTTTCTGTGCGTTTGTGGAAGGGGAGGGAGCCAGTTGCCAAGGCCCTGGATGCTGAGCTCTGTCCCCGGAGGTGGTGTCCCTGGAGGAGGCTGTCTGCCCTCTTGAGCTACTCATGGTGCTGTGCATACAGCAAAGCTTGGAAGTAACTTGTTTCCGAGACTGTGACTGTTCCCCTCAGAGCCTGTTTTTCTGGTCCTTCAGGGTCTGCACCCTCCTCTTTCCGGAGCCCTGCAAGCAGTTAACCAGCATTGATGGGACAGCCACAGAGTGCCCTGTAGTGAAGGCCTGTCTTCCACTCTGCCACCTCCCCTGTTTTACCCGTGCCAGGGCTGTTCTTTACTGTGCTTGGTTTCTCATTGCAGGTACTGGGATCGAGAAGTGTTGAGAGCGGAGAAGGATGCACGGGAGCCCTCTTTAACGAAAGCAATCATAAAGTGTTACTGGAAATCCTATTTAGTTTTGGGAATTTTTACGTTAATTGAGGTAAAAGCTGTTACATACAGCGCATTGCTTTTCGGTGTATGTGGCTCAGTAATGAGATGGATGCGACGGGTGGGGAGAGGCCAGTCGTTTAAGGTCCGAGGATAAACCTTGTCTAGGAAACATGTAGCCCAGCGGTTGTATTTAGCTTTAGAATGGACAGGTCCTTAAAAGGAGTGGACCTCCAGGGGGTTACTATTTTTCTTTTAACTGATTAAAAACATAGTGTCATGGAGGGATGGTGCTGAAAAGGAAAGACATTATGTTACGATGTTCTCGGTGCTCAGTATAACTGCTGAAAGTGATCCTTGACCAAAAGAAAATCCAGCAAAACCTCAAAGAAGATGTGCCCTGGGGTTTGGAGAAAGTAAACTTGGACCTGAGCCCACAGCAACATAAGACATTTTACAGACGTTCAACAAATAACTGTTAACTTGACCAGGTCACATCTGATAAATGCTTTCCTAAGAAGGTATCTTCACCTTCCCCCTTCCAGCGGAACAGAACCCGTGGCCCTGCATCTGGGTTGGAGCTGCCCAGAGCTCGGAAGAGCACACCCTTCGCTGGGCTGGCCCTTCCCAGCGGGCCGGACACTGAGAGCCAAAGCCCCCCACGGGGAGGAGCTCCAGCTTCACCACGAGTTCTGTGCACCACACGTTCTGGTTTTGGTCCCTGGCTGTGGGAGTGGATTGCTGGTTGAAAGCAGAGCCTTGGTAGTTTGCAGAGGGTGTAGGAGGGGGATGTGCAGGGGAGAACCTAAGGCAGAAAGCTGTGAGGTCAGTGACCACCATGACCCAGAAGGTTCTGGGTTAAGATCCCCTAGTGAGACAGTTCTCCCTGGGGGCACAGTGCCAGTTGGCCTGCCTATTCTGGCTGCAGCCTGCTGGAGGTCTGCTGCAAATCCACTTGGGTGGCTCGTGCTCTCTGTGGTACCTTAGTGCTGCCGTAGGGACAGGGCCAGCCTGTGAGTGTGTGAGAGCAGGAGGGATAGAAGATGCAGTTGCTATGAAAGAGTTGTTTTAGGTGGAGAAGGTGAGTTGTCATAAATATGTTTTTATTGGGGGTGAGATGGGTCTGCTAGGTGGTTTGTAGGTGGCAGGTGTGGCTCTTTTTTTAAATTTTTATTGGAGTATAGTTTCTTTACAATGCTGTGTTATTTCTTCTGTACAGCAAAGTGAATCAGTTAATGTATACATATATCCCCTCTTTTTTAGATTTCCTTCCCGTTTAGGTCACCACAGAGCATTGAGTAGAGTTCCCTGTGCTGTACAGTAGGTTCTCATTAGTTATCTCTTTTTTGCATAGTAGGGTGTATATGTCAGTCCCAATTTATCCTGCCTCCCCCCCGCCCCCAATTCCCTCCTTGGTGTCCGTAAGTTTGTTCTGTACCTTGTGTCTCAATTTCTGCTTTGTAAGTAAGTTCATCCGTACCATTTTTCTAGATTCCACATGTATGCAATATTATATGATATTTGTTTTTCTCTTTCTGACTTACTTCACTCTGTATGACAATCTCTTGGTCTCTCCACGTCTCTGCAAATGGCACAATTTCGTTCCTTTCTATGGCTGAGTACTATTCCATTGTATATATGTGCCACACCTTCTTTATCCATTCGTCTGTCGACGGACACTTAAGTTGCTTCTATGTCCTGGCTATTGTGAATAGTGCTGCAATGAACATTGGGGTGCATGTATCTTTTGTAATTATGGTTTTCTGCGGGTATATGACCAGGAGTGGGATTGCTGGGTCACATGGTAGCTCTATTTTTAGTTTTTTGAGGAACCTCCATACTGTTCTCCATAGCGACTGTACCAAATTACATTCCCACCAACAGTGCAAGAGGGTTCCCTTTCTCCACACCCTCTCCAGCATTTATTGTTTATAGGTTTTTTGATGATGGCTTTTCTGACTGGTGTGAGGTGATAAATCTCACTGTAGTTTTGACTTGTATTTCTGTAATAATTAGTGATGTTGAGCATTTTAAAATGTGTTTGTGGGCCATCTGTATGTCTTTTTTGGAGGAATGTTTATTTAGGTCTTCCACCCATTTTTTTATTGTGTGGCTCTTGTTTAAAAGGCTTTGTTGTCCTGAAGGGCACTGCGGGCAGTGGGCAGCTGGGTAGGTGAAGTCTGCCCCACACAACTGGAGAAACCAGAGAATTCTGTCACCTCACAGGTGACTGGATGGTCCTGGGAGATTGAGTTCTTGTTGATGACAAAGCTGGCTTGGCCATTGTGCCAGAGGGTGGGGACATCTGTATGGGGCCGTGTTCCATCTTTGAGAGAGCACTGACCACCTAGATACTGCCGTGGCCTTGTGAAGGGCAGGGTGGAGATGCAAACCCATGCGATTTCCTCAGGGGTTGGAGAGGGTGCAGGAGCCCCTCAGTCTGTCCCAGCCCTTCTTTGACCTGTGTACAGCTGTCCCAATGATGGTGTTTCTGCATAGTCACAGTAAGTCTCTGTTTGAAATACAGGCAGCAAGCTGGTGTGGACTGTGTGTGTAGGATTTCCTGACCTCACAGAGCAAGCGCTCATGAATTCTGCTTGTCCGGAAACCTTGGGGCTTCGGGGTGTGCCTGGAGCTCATGCCAGGTGCCTGGTTCGGGGTGAGCAGAGATGAGTGGCCTCAGGGTTTAGTGTTGGATCGTGTCCTGGAGCAGGTCTTTCTGTGCTGTCCGTGGTTCTCTAGTTCCTCTTTGGTACGAGATGCTGAAGAAGGTGAAGGCAGGTGGGTCTCAAAGCGTGGCCCATGTGGCTGGGTTTGAAGCGAGCTGCAGGTTTTTCATGCTGTCCTGCACTGTTGGTCCCTTGGGTGGGGTCACTAAACTTTAGATGGATCCCATCCTAACATGAGCTCCAGGTCTTTGCTGTGGCAGCTTATGGGAGAAGCAGACACAGAGGGAGAGGCCACAGGAACTGGGGTTCTTCCTGAGAGGGAATCGGCCGCACTGGGGTGCTGGGAGCTTTGATTCCAAAGTTGTCCAGCCCCGGTAATACTTACTGCTAGGGGTCCAGGAAAACCAGGCCTGGGGGCTGCGTAAGGTGCAACTGGTAGAGCACTGGCCCCTCTTTCAGGAGGTTGGTTGTTGGGCAGTCATGGCAGAAAAGGGGGGAGTAGAAGACCTGGCAAACGTGCGGGCTCATCTCAGTAGTAGTACTAGAAGTACTAGTAGCGGTAACAGGGGCTCCTACTCAGTAGCACTGGTGGTGGCGACTGCAGTACTATTAGTGTGGTAATAAAAATATTAAGTTCTTGAAAAATACTATGTATCAGAACTGCTGTAAGCACTTTATATGTGATATTAGTATTATTTCTTTGGCTGAGTCAACAAAGTCATAGGTATTATATTACCCCCATTTTAGAGAAGAAGATACAGAGTGCTAAGTAGTTACACAGTGTGCCTGTGGTCACACGAAACATAAAGGACGGACTGAGGTTCCATCTCGGACGCTCTGACTTAAGAGAATGTCTGTCTCAATGACTGAGCTTGTCCAGGGTCAGGAGGGCTTGTCTTGAGAGCTTTGTTTTCATGGTCTCAGACACATGCATCCTGAACTTGGTTTAAGGATAATAAATAGGATGCTAAGGACTTCCTGGAGCAGGAAGCCAGATGGGAACATAAATGAAGGCGGAGTCAAGGTGACCACATCTCCTGGGTGAAGAAGTTACTAGGGCTTTGACACTAGCAGCAGTGTCATGCTGTATTTAGATGGACCAGGAGAGGCCCTTTAGGAAACCACCTTTCACTCGTTACCGGGCTGTAAGTGGATGAGGTTGTGACTGTTCCGGTGACCCAAGTTCTAAACAACCATCCACACTTTTACGAAACCATTCCAGATGGGCTCTCTGAGATGGACCAGGGGGAAGGTAGTAGGTCTTGGATGGTGGCTACGGTGGGACATTGATAATCTGGGCACAGGTGGAGTGTTCCGTGTTGTTTTTTAGTAAGATGCCCAGTTGCTTGCTGAGAGCTCGCTGAGAACTTCCATCCCTGTGAATATGCGGTTGCATTTGCTCAGCGAGAATGAGAATCCCAGGTCGGTTACTGGGGTGTGGAGCAGTTCTCCTGTTCTGTTGTCTGAATACACTTTCCCACACACAGGCGTGTCCCGGGCCTGAGGTCTTAGAGTGATAGCTGGGTAGGACCAGCTGGACTGGTTAGGATAATAAGTGGCAGAACTCATGGTGGTTTACAGTGTAAAACTAGACAGTGGTCTCTCTTCCCTAGGTGATTGTTGTGACGGGCATACGGTGCTCATTCTAAATTTGTGTCCTTAGGATAATAACTTGCAGAACTCTTAGTTCTGATGCAGTGGAGTTCAGGGAGTTGAGGGCCATTAAAGATCAAGGAGAAGTAAACATCGAATTTTATTGGCAGTCAAACGAAGCCTGAAATCCAACACAAATATTCCTGTTTTCCTAGACCTGCCTTTTGACATACTGCTGTTTTGGAGAAGTTAAAAATCATTCCTTATGACAGAGCTAATAAGGATCTGTTCCATTTAAAAACTCATTTTCTGGTGCTGTTTTGGGTTTTCAGTGATTAAAACTACTGAGTTAGATGCAATAAATGTTAGTTAAATAATTGATTTTATGAAGCAACTTCCCATTTTGTGATCATCTATGCTGCTTGCTGGTCTTTGTATTTTATTTTATTTTTAAAAATATTTATTTATTTATTTGGTTGTGGCAGGTGAGCTCCTTAGTTGTGGCATGCGAACTCTTCCCCCCCACCCCCAACAAATTTATTTATTTATTTTTGGCTGCTTTGGGTCTTCATTGCTGCATGCGGGCTTTCTCTAGTTGCGGAGAGCGGGGGCTACTCTTTTGTTGCGGTGCGGGGGCCTCTCCTTGTCATGGCTTTTCTTGCGGAGCACAGCCTCTAGGTGCTCGGGCTTCAGTAGTTGTGGCACATGGATTCAGTAGTTGTGGCACATGGACTCAGTAGTTGTGGCTCGCGGGCTGTAGAGCACAGGCTCAGTAGTTGTGGCGCACGGG